ATTGAATAGTATAAACTTCTTTGACATTTACAAAAAATATATGAATTTTGGCTTCCTGTATTGGCGGACTTGATGTTGTTGCCCGGCCAGTGTTGAGGTCAGAAGAAGTTCTAAGCATAAATTTTTTCATTAACCGAATTGAAGATCCTTATGGAAGGCAGTTCGTTAATCGAAATTTCGTTAACCGAGGTGTTCGTTAAACGAGGGGTCACTTATATATACATATATATATATATATATATATATATATATATATATATATATATATATATATATATATATATACTCATTCACACTATTTTATAATCAGTCATGTACTGAATATTCTATGTACACAAAATAAATGTTAAATGAATTATTTATGGTGCATTAGGGTACTGGCCACTTCAGACACAAAGACGGGCTATAAATAGCCTTCTTATCTACGTAGGTACCCTCCATCTCACCCTCAGCCAGAGGGAAGGGTCTTGGTAAATAACATTTGTTTGCTTATTTTCCATTTACTTGAAATAGATTTACCGAATTATTTGTTTATTTATTTATCTATAATATACTGTAATATATTAAACACACTGTAATTATTTTCTTTAATTTATAAACTTGTTTTGCAACAAAGGAATGTTCTCCAGTAGTGTTTCATTAGGATTTGAGTGAAAAAATATTACGTACTTACTACATACATTTATTACACAAACATATTTATATATACTGTATGTATACATATATACACATGCACACATTTAATTTACTAAGTCACAATATTTTAAAAGCAAATTACCCAACAAGTTAAAAATGTTATTAGCACATGATTATTACTAACGTCATCATGTATTAAAAACCTTCAAAATCCACATCATCAACATGTGACATCATAGGTTCCTCAAGTACATCCTGAGATACATCTATGGCTGCATCATCATAAGGATCAAACTCCAAATCAGATGACGTGGCTTTGGCTTCTGTTTCATCCTCGTCCTCCCACAACATATCATCCTCCATACCATCCATTGAATTAGATATTCCGCACTTTTTAAAAGACTTGATAACTGTTTCCACATTAATATCATTCCATGCCTTGATAACAAAATCACACAGTACATCCAGTTCTGGTGCACGCATATTCCCACCCTTCGTGTAAGACTTTTTGCCGCTGATCATCCACTTGTTCCAGTGTTCGCAAAAGCGGTCCTTGAATGGTTTGTTTAGACAAACATCAAGTGGTTGTACAACTGAAGTTAATTCACCAGGAATAACTGCAATGTCACTGTTGTTCCTCGCCATGCTGGTCTTTGTTCCCTCTGTTAAATGACTCGCGGACATATCCCATACTAAGAGGCTACGCTGTTTTTGAAAGCCACCAGGTCGCCTACACCATATATGATCAATCCATAACTTTATTCCTTGTTCGTCCATCCACCCTTTCTCGTTGACGTGAACAAAAACTCCAGCCGGGAACTTGATTTTGGGCATTGTTTTCCTCTTGAGAATTAGCATTGGGTTCAACTTGGTTCCGTCTGCCATGCATGAAAGTACTACTGTAAACCGTGTCTTTTTGTGTCCTGTTGTTTTCACTAACACTGTTTTTGCACCCTTTGTATCGACAGTATGATTACCGACCATGTCGAAGTTCATAGGTGTTTCATCCATGTTCCTGATGTTGCTTAATGGATAACAATGTTTCTTCCGTTGTTGTATTATGTAGCGATGGAAATTAACAATTTTACAGTTAAGATCTGCTGGTAATTTTTGTGCTATTTTTGTCTTCTGCCTCAGTACCAGATTGCTTCTTTCCATAAAACGGCTACACCATGAAGCCGTGGCTTTGAAGTCTTTGCTGTGCTCTTGATTTTGTTTAGCCCACTTAAGTGCCCAAATAAGTATCATGTTTCTTGATACAATATATCCATTTTGATGCTGCTCATGGACCATGTCTACTGCGTGCTTCTCTAGAATCGGCCAGTGTGCAGTGCCTCTTCTCATTGCACATTTATTCCTGGGCATACTTCGTAGCAAGTGTTCCTTTGATCTCCAATCCCGCACCATCTTCTCAGTTACACCGTATTCTCTTGAAGCAGCACAATTGTTGTGTGACTGGGCATATGCTATCACTTTCAGCTTAAAACAAGCTTCATATCTCCTGCGTTTAACAATTGGAGCCATGGTGAGGTTTTATGGTAGCTGGATATTAATACAGTGACCCCTCCGTTAACGAACTCAATCCATTCCAGAAGGTCGTTTGTTAACCGAAAAGTTCGTTAACCGAAACCATTGTTTCAATGGGTTTTTGGGTAATTGGTTCCAGCTCACCAAAAATTTCCTAAATACAACAAAAATGGTAGAAAAGTTCACTTACTTTGAGGTGTGTATGTAGAAGGCTCCTGGATGATGATGATGATGATGATGATGATGATGGGATTTAGAATGGGGGTGGAGGAGAAGGAAGAAGAGAAGGCATTGGGGTGGAAGAGAAGTCACCCCATGGCGCCATTTCACCCATAAAATTTTAGCTCTGGTGTAATTCAAGATTATTTTCTTTAAATCAACACTGCACTGCATTATATATTGTCAATATGTAAAATATATTTCAAAATGGCCAATAATTTGCTTGGAAACACAGAAAAAAAGCATTTAGTTGAAGAGAGTCTCAAGCAAGATGTTACCTCCAGTGAAAACAGAGAGAGACTAACTCCTGTTTGCTGTGTTAAGAGGCTGGATGCCGCGCATTAAGCTAGTCACTTTACCTTCAATTATGTTCAATAATTGTTAAAATGACTAAAAAATTGAACATTAAACTTTTAAAATTATTGAATAGTATAAACTTCTTGATATTTACTAAAATAGTAAGGAATTTAAGCCCTAGAACCGATTAATGTATTGGCGGACTGATACTAAAGCTGGTTGCCCGGTCAGTGCAAGCGGAAACATGTTGAGGTCGGTTCGTAAGAACTTCATTAACCGAATTTTTTTTCGTGAACCGAATTGAAGATCCTTATGGAAGGCAGTTCGTTAATCGAAATTACGTTAACCGAGGTGTTCGTTAAACGAGGGGTCACTGTATACCGTAGTGTTCACACGGAGAGAGTGCTATTGCTTATGGAGTGATAACTCAACAACTGGACAAGGCAAATGAGAGAAGGGGTATCACGTTTGGGGATTGATTACATGACCTGACGTGGTCACCTTTCACATATATGGTAATCATTAAGAATCAAACTCCGAATCAGATGACCTGACTTCTTCTTCATCATTGTCATCCTAAATTTACCACTGTCGGTAGTTTCAAGAATTAAAAGTCATTTACTGAATATTCTATGTAAAAAAATAAATTTTAAATCAATTATTTATAGGAGATAAGTATTATGATCAGTAAATATATGGTATTACTGGCCACTTGAGACACAAAGACGGGATAAAAATAGCCCAATCTCCCCCGTCTTAGCTGCCAATGGGAAGCGTCTTGGTAATTAAATTTGATGTTTATTTTCATTGTTTGTCTAATTTATCATGTATCAAAGTAATATTACTAAAAATTGTGTAGGTAGTAGGCAGCTACCAAACAGGTAGATACTACCGCCTGGGAAGATATTGGAAGCATAATGTGTTGTCTAATAGTAGACCCTGCTGCTATATGGCATCACGAAAATTGTGACCAAGTCCCAGGTTGCTGACCTGACTTTCTGCCTCATTTACACACAATTGCAGTTTCAATTGTTCCTCTTACTTTGACAACACAACATACATACAGTATATTATTTCTCACTTTTGATCTTTTTTTTTAATTTTTGTATTTATTTATGGTTAGTTACTTAAAATAAGGCCAATTCACTTCAAGTAATGGCATCAAATGTTACCGGCTGGTGTAGTGTAAACACTAGTGACGTCACTTAAGCGTCTGTATTTAACTGTCGGTAGTTTCAAGAATTAATGCAGTCATTTACTGAATATTCCTTGTAAAAAAATAAATTTTAAATTAATTATTTATAGGAGATAAGTATTATTATCAGTAAATATACCGATATGCATTACTGACCACCTCCACGGCTAAAAATAGCCCAATCTCGCGGTCACTTTCCCTTTCTTGTCTCCTCACTGGCAAATGGGGGGGGCATGGGGAGGGGTGTGTGATGATAGCTGTGTTTATTACAGGGGTATATTGTTCTTTTACGGTATGTTAGACAGGTTTATAATACATTTTTATTATTTTAATATACCGGTAATCTTAATTTGAATCCAGCTTGCCAAACGTAAGTTTCAGTATAAAATAATTAGTGGTAGAACCTTGTGAGTGGCTTACGATGTTTCCATCACCACTCTTGACACACTAAACCACAATATTTAAGAGGTAAGAATTTTATACCTGGTGATTAAGACGACCCCCCAACTTTGGGCTGATTTTTTTAATGTTCAAACTCCGTCTTATAAGCCGAGATATACGGTATTCAATGAGCCTGTCACATGACCACTTTTGAGCACACAAAATGACCAGAAATCACAGAGAAGATATTTTTTCCAGAGCACAATTCATGGCTAAGATATTGTCAAATATTTAATCAAATGATACCATTCTATGTAAAAAAAAAAAGCTGAGAAATCACATGAATCCCCTCACCTCACAAAAAATAAGCAAAAATATAAATAAAAACCATTTTGGCGAGTATAAATATCTTGAGGTAACTGCATGGTGGCCATCTTTAAATTGCGCCTGGGACTGACACTCACTGCTTACAGCGGCATTACTGGTGTTAGTTGGTCCACTGCACCTAGACGGGTTGCCACACAGTCTTAAGACTTGGTTCCACGCAAGAGAGCAGTGACAAAGTGGCATTAAAATTTGAAGTAATTCGACCAGAAACTGATCGCAAGGCAAATGTTTCATTTACATTAAATCAAAACGCCACTTATGATTGTATAATCCCGAGAGTGTTAGTAATCAAGTCAAATGTGAACATATGGTATGACCTCTAACATCTGGGTGAGACAGTCCAGACCAGGTTACTCACGTCAATAACTGAGTGTTGTCATTATTAACATTTGGTAGTGTTTGCAGCAGCTTTCTCCTGTAAGGCTTGAAGTTGTCAATAGTCTTGTTTGAATCCTTGACCACATCAATCTGGTCTTTAGTGTCCCATATCTCCAGGTGAGTTAGTACCACCACAATGTTCAGTGGCCGGAATATCTGTAAATTGGTGTAGAAAGTTTTAAATGGTGGCAAAAGATATTAATGGTTAGTGGCATATTACACCATCCTGTGCATGTGTGGGTTCTGATAGTAATTGAAGCTGGTAGTGCTTCATGGAGAGTTAGAACCAGGTCCTCATAAATGTTATCTTCTGTTAACATTAATGACCTTTGTTTCACCCACATAGGAACATACACATCTTTGAGTGAGGATGATGAAGTCTTCTTAGCTTAAAAGTGATCTATACACAGGTGATGACAATGTTCACACATCAAATACCGATGAAGGGGCGAGAAGGATGTACGGTATCACAACTTACTGCATTAACAATGTTGACAATGCCCCTGCAGCGCTGGACAGATTTATCAAGGAAATTCTTATAGAAGCTGTTGTCTGCAACCAACACCAACTCCACAAATCGAGTTGTCTTACTTGTCCACATTGGATCACCATGGAGAGCCTCACGCCGCTCCTGGAACAAACATTAGGAGCAATGACTTGTCTGGTACACCAATACTAATATAAAATAATTATAATCAATAACAGTGAATACATTAAGGGAAATTTGATAGACAATACAAGTTTTAAGTACAGTCTATTTCTGCTGGCAACTTAACTGAGGTTGACCAACACTATGTTTCTGCTGGCAACATGACCAATACTGTACTGAGGTTGACCAACACTATGTTTCTGCTGGCAACATGACCAATACTGTACTGAGGTTGACCAACACTATGTTTCTACTGGCAACATGACCAATACTGTACTGAGGTTGACCTACACTATGTTTCTGCTGACAACATGACCAATGCTGTACTGAGGTTGACCTACACTATGTTTCTGCTGACAACATGACCAATGCTGTACTGAGGTTGACCTACACTATGTTTCTGCTGACAACATGACCAATGCTGTACTGAGGTTGACCTACACTATGTTTCTGCTGACAACATGACCAATGCTGTACTGAGGTTGACCAACACTATGTTTCTGCTGACAACATGACCAATACTGTACTGAGGTTGACCTACACTATGTTTCTGCTGACAACATGACCAATACTGTACTGAGGTTGACCTACACTATGTTTCTGCTGACAACATGACCAATACTGTACTGAGGTTGACCTACACTATGTTTCTGCTGACAACATGACCAATACTGTACCTACCCTCTGCAGGACAGCATCTTCTTGGTCACTATTGCTGCTGCTATTGTTGTTTTTGCTCTTGTTCTTCTTGACAACACTTCTTACTCCTGAAAAGTTTGGTCAGGTCAGGTTAGGTTATTGTCTTAACTCCTTTAACTCTTCCACAAGTGAATACAATACAGTACAGTACAGAACAGGTATAGTGTGGTCATGTCTATCAGAGATTGTTCAAAATAGTTATTAAAAATCAGCCTTATTAGATGACAAAATATTCTAGAAGAAAAAATTATACTTGAACCTCGCTAATTTGACATCCTCTGGGCTCTACCCCATTCAAATTACCCGTTGAATATGAATTAGCCCAAGTGTGGCTAATTATCCTGTTTATGCCAAGTGTAATTTATGTGTCAAATTAGGTCAAATAGTTGTTAAGAGTCAATATTAATGAAATATTATTTTTCTTAACATAAGATAGTAATGATACATGGGGATTGATGCTAACACTAAAGGTAATTACAGTATAGTCTGCATTTACGCGGTTTTTGTTTACGCGTTTGGTCATTTACGCGGTGCCTTGGCAGAATGAAAATGCTTTAATTACGTGGTAAATTTGGTCATTTGCGCGGCGAGCGGCTGGAGAGGTCCAGACCGCCGCGCCATTTCTTACCCACGCGGTCCATTCTTGACCACCAGCGGGAAGCGGCGCGGTGAGTGGTGTGCATTAGACCACTCTTACGTTATCGCTGATGTCATATGACGTATCGGACTGTGATTGGGCCACGCATCCTTACCACCCACGCATTCCCTCCGCCGCTCGCTGTGATTGGTCTAATGTAATATGACGTGCCCTGCCACCAGAGGGTAGAAGTCGCTGACCTAGCCGGGCCTGTCTCATTGTTCTCAGTCCGCGTATACAGTTCTCTCTTGTGCCCGCTATTCCCCTCACAACTCACAATGGCTTCCGCGGGACCCCCACCACCAGAGAAAAACATTGAATTACCTGGACCAAGCCATGATAATGTGAAGGAAATCATCGAGTTGGGGGAGAAAATTAAGCTCATCCTTGATAACGACCCAGACAAGCATCGGTATGAAGTGTCTAATAACCATCTGATGAAAGTTATGGAGCCGTATATCCAGATCTATCTCGACAACATCAATGCTAGTCGTCAACGTAGTATTGAGGACCTCCTCGCCCGCAACCCACCACAACCACAGCCAGCCCAAGTCAGTGATAATGATATTGACAGTGAGGATATGGACTTTGAGGGGTCTGTCTGGGAGGCCCTGCAAACCTCTGCGAGTAGTGAAAGTGATTCACCGGAGGGCAACTAATCTGCCCTCTGCCTCGGAACCAGCCGCCATCCACGTGTGCCAACCCAGCTTTTCTACTGACGTAAGTGTTAAAAATCCTAATATTATTGATATTTCTCTTAATTATTAATTGTGTGTGCATACCATCATAAAATTAAGATGTTATTTTTACTACAACGTACCTATTGTGTCTGAAAAAGTGGAGTTTGGGGGTCGGCCCAGTCTCTATTTCAATTAATTCCATATGTTCTGTTTTTTCATTTACGCGTTTCTCGTTTTACGCGGGCCTCCACGGGTTCAATTGACCGCGTAAATGCAGACTATACTGTATGTACAGGGGTGTAAAAAGTACCAGACTTTGATACTTAAGTAAAAGTATTCAAAGTTCAATATACTCAAGTAGAAGTAAAAAAAAAGTATCTCATTCATAAAGTACTCAAGTACTGAAAGTAAAAAGTAATAACAAAATTATTAATCGTCTCAAAAAATAAAATAAATCCAAAGTAAATTATTAAAAATTACTTTAATTAACAAGAGATAAAAATTAAAGATACACCGCGTTATTTATGTTTATATGCAAATATTTCTATTGAGATTAATCAAGAACTAATTCTCAAAATTATGGCTGGCCAATCGGGATCTTTCAGGCTTAAATATAAGCCCACTATGACTCAACAGACGCTCACAAGTAGCAGACGTCAAGAAACGCTTGTGATTGGTTAGCTTCCAAGTTTGCCCTGTGATTGGATATTTAAAACTCTATTGTTTTTGTGCAAGTAATGATTTTGTTTTTATTTGTATTGGAGTAAAATTATTAGAAAACCATAATTAAGTAAATGCACTGAAAAATTTTAGTACTCATTAAAAAGTAAATACCCAAGAATAATACTTAAGTACAGTACACTACACAAGTAAATTTACATCATTACTTTACAGATCAGGGCAGTGCATTGGGCCTGCTGTTGTTTGTTTCATAAATGACATGCCTGACGTTGTACACTCCTCCATACAAATGTTTGCCAATGACGCTCAGTTATTTTGGGAAATCAAGAACCAAGCGGACTGTGAAGAGCTGCAGAAGGATCTCTGTAAGCTCCAAGAATGGTCGAAGAAATGGCTGCTGAGATTCAATGTTACGAAGTGTATGAGGATGCACCTGGGACGTACCAAAGGTAAGGAGGCGTACCATATGTCCCAACGGGATGAAGAAACTGCACTAATTGAGACTGAATGTGAGAAGGACCTAGGTGTGTATGTTGACAATGAGCTGAAGTTCTCGGGCCATTGCAAGAAGAAGGTGAACCAGATAAATTAATTATTGGGTCTTATAAAAAGGTCGTTCTGATATCTAGACAGACCGTCCCTCGTAATAATTTTCAAGAATAAAGTGCTTCTCATCTGGTCCCCGAGATATGCTAGGGTCTGTCAGTTGGTTGAAAATGTTCAAAGGAGGGCCACTAGACTGGTGCCTGCACTTCAGCACCTCAACTACCCTGAGATGGAGAACCTGAACTTGCCTAGCTTATACTGGTACTACAGACGGGCAAGGAGTGACCTAATTGAGGCGTATATGCATCTCAAGGGGCACTAATCAGTCGAATGTCCTTACTTGGAGCTGGCGGACACTTGCCCCACAAGGGGTCACAGCTTAAGATTGAAGAAGCCGCAAGTCCAGAAAACTGTGAGGGCAAACTTTTTCGGAGTGAGAGCTGTGAACTCTTGGAACAACCTACCAGAAAGTGTTGTGACGGCACCGAGTGTGAGCTCTTTCAAGACAAGACTTGACCAACACTGGAGCAGGTTCAGGTACATTCAGGAGCCGGTGCATGCCCAGTACTTGCCAACAGTGCGTAATAGACATGACCGATCGCCCAAGCGGCTAACAAGCCGATCAGTGGTGAAGAGGATAAAAGAAAAAGAAAAAGAAAAAAGCACAGCTATCAAACAGGGAGGTACTACTGCCTGGGAGGATATTGGAAGCATAATGTGGTATCTAATGGTAGACCCTGCTGCCATATGTGACCAAGTCCCAAGTTGCTGATTTGACTTTCTGCCTGCCTCATTTACACACAATTGCAGGGTCTCAATTGTTTCTCTTACTTTGACAACACAACATACGGTACAGTACTGTACATACAGTATATCATTTCTGACTCATTATCCTTTTTTCTCATTTTTGTAATTATTTATGGTTTATTATTATAGTATAGTCTCGATTTATGCGGATTTCCTTTACGCGGTTGGTCATTTACGCGGCACCTGGCCAGACCGGCAATTATTAGTTACGTGGTACATTCAGTGCCGGATTAACCATGAGGCACTGGCCTCAGGCCCACCGACTCTAAGGGGCCACCAAATTCAAACATTCTCGAAGTTGAAGCATATAAAACATGAACTTCATTCAACGATGTCCTAGCAACGTCTCAATTTTCTGTCCCCTATGAACATTGAATGTGTTCTTTTGCAGAAGCTTAATAATGATGAAATCATTGATAAATTTTGGTATATTTAGTTCTTGTTATTTATATATACCTTGAGGGTAGGGGGCCCCAAGTTGATCTGTGCCTCAGGCCCCTATTAAGCTTAATCCGGCTCTGGGTACATTCCATCATTTACGCGGGAAGCGGCACGGGCAGGGTGCGCACTAGGTCGCCCAGTCAACAAAACATTACCAAGTTCTTCACCCGCTACCCACCACAGCCAGCCCAAGTCAGTGATAGTGAGGATATGGACTTTGAGGGGTTTGACAAAGAGGCCCTGCAAACCTCTGTGGTGGATAGTGATACAGGTGAGGGCCAATAATCTGCCCTCTGCCTCGGAACCAACCCCCCATCCCTGTGTGCCCAGCCATCTCTTCTACTAACGTAAGTGTTAAAAAACCTAATATTATTGATATTTCTCTTAAATATTAATTGTGTGCACACCATCATAAAATTAAGATGTTATTTTTACTACAACGTACGTATTATGTCGGAAAAAGGGTAGTCTGGGGGTCGGCCCAGTCTCTATTTTAATTAATCCCATATGTTCTGTTATATCGTTTACGGGTTTCTCGTTTTACGCGGACCTCCACGGGTTTAATTGACCGAGTAAACCGAGACTATACTGTATATATATTTTTTATTATAATTTTTATTTATTTCTATTAATTATTATTATAATTATTGTTATTATTTTTTTGCTCCCTGTCCCCCCAGTTCCCAATTTGGGTCAGTGACTTATGCCCAGGAGGGCTGGCCCCTGTAAAAAAAAAAAAAAAAGTCATAATGTTCATGTCTCTTCGTGGACTCATGACGTCATGGAAGGGTACAGACTGTGCTGTGTAAATCCAAATGAAACATTATTTTTTCACATAACATACAACCAGTGTGAGAAAATGTTCAGTAGTGGTCATATGTTTATCAACAAACACATAAGTTATAACATGTTGATGTCTCATAGTTTTTCTTTCTTATTCAAACCCCAAATTAATGTTGGAGATGATATGATACACAACCCTGTAAACAGTCATTACCTTAGTGTGAGAACCTAATTCACAATGACAGGTTCCCTACCCAAATGCTTCTCATTTTTAATAATTTTTACGACAAGCACAAACACCAGAGGCTTCTTCTTGTAGCCCAACCAAATCATTATGCACTCACACTTATAAGACCCAACTCAATCGTTAGAGACTTACCTTGCAGTACAAGGGTCAATCTCATCCATATCTCAACCACTTTTCTTGTTTCCATTGTAAAATATGAATACATTAATGAATATAAAGCTTGATGTTGTTAGATCAGACACTCCATGAATGACCAGCTTCTGCCAGGATGTCCTAATTTTTTTTATTAATTTTTCTTTCTTTAATTTATCATTCCATCACTTCTCAGCTCACTGGTTCATTCTTGGTTACTTTGTTATGAAGTTTACTGTTAGTACAGGAGGAAGGTGTAGTAACTGGAGAAAACCTGCCATATTTAGTAAGGCCATGCTGGATAACACCCTTCTCACGCATGTCTCGGGCCACGACTCAAACTCGTGACATAAAGTAGTGGCGAGAGATACACCGTGCCATCAACACCCTTAGTCAACGTTTCAACACGAGGTAACAAAAACACCATTAAGGGAGAAGTTTTGTCACTCACCACATGCTCCTGGTACATGGCTACTGGCAGAAAAGATATGGTGTGGGTCCTCTAGTGTTGAGGCATCAAGGGCAGGCTCCACTGTTAGTTCCTTCCCTCTGCCAACAATCACACCCCTGCACAAGGATGAGTCAACATATGTAACAAACAATATTTATACATATACAAAGAAACCTCTATATAATTGACTCCTCTCTCCATATAATCCATAAGATGGGGTTTTTATATCTAACGGAGTCTCGATATAACGGACTTTCATCTCTATATATTTCATTAGATGGAGGTTTCACATATAACAGGTCCTTGATATATGGACTTTCATCTCCATATAGTTCATTAAAAAGAGGTGTCACTGTATACTAGTTTCCTTCTAGTGATAGAAAATTACAAGTACTGTATTGGTTTATACGGCTAATTTGAGTCTGTCTTTATCAACGGTTGTTTTTATATGTTCATTTCTTTACTCTGAAGTTCCATGTTCCTTCTGGGAGTCTCAACATCTTCTCTCAAGTTCTCCATCACTAAACCATCATCTTAGTGTTACTTTCTCTCAAGGATCAGTGAATACATAAATAATAACATAGGTTGTTTGGGGTTCTATTCACTACGGAGCGTATATTATTTTAACTATCATACGAATGGTAAAAATTCTGCTACTCTGTACTCACAAACAGACAGACATACATGCACACACTCACACATAACCATGAGCTATGAGAGAGAGTGGGAGAGTGAGAAACAAAGTTGAGATACAGTGATCGAAATAAGAGAGATAGAGTTAAAAGAAAGTGAGATAGAGAGCCAAGAAGATACCCACCTGATGCCCTGACAGAGAGAGAGAGCCACCCAGGACCCGGGCACACCTCTCACACTGCCCTGGAACTCACACACTGAAGGTGGTCCACTGTCCTGTTGAGAAATTAATATATCTCAGCTGTTACTATTTCGTGGCTAGTAGCAATGTTTTATTTAGTTACTATTACATCTGACTAGTAGCACCCATAAATCTGGTTAGTGGCAAGTTTTATTTAGTTACTGAAACTATTCCACCTGACTCTCACAGCTGGCTAGTGGCATTCCTCCAGCTGGTTCACTGTTCCAGCAGATTTACGGCAACATTCTTGTATTTTAAAACTTAAATCTAACAATATGTGACATGCCTCGAGACTCAGCCATAATATGATCAAGATTTCACATAAAATATAACAAAAATTATATGATATTTCCTGAAAATTTGACAAAAATAACTTAATCATAAATCTGTCATCAAGTGCATCATTGTAAGCAAGAGACCAGTTAAATCTTATACTGTACTGAACTGCCACACTATAATGTTAGCTACAACCAAAGTACTGTACTGTACATCGCGAGTACTACTGTACACAACAAGTATAACGAGTCTCATCACTAATAAAAAAATTATTTTAATTCCCATCATTTTTTTATTTCACATAATTTCATGATATAATTGAATCAGTTGTGGGTGAGCATAAGATGAGCACACCGCTGGCCATGGCCCAGTGATGAGCACACCGCTGGCCATGGCCCAGTGATGAGCACACCGCTGGCCATGGCCCAGTGATGAGCACACCGCCGGCCATGGCCCAGTGATGAGCAAACCACCGACCATGGCCCAGTGATGAGCACACCGCTGGCCATGGCCCAGTGATGAGCACACCGCTGGCCATGGCCCAGTGATGAGCACACCCCCAGCCATGGCCCAGTGATGAGCACACCGCTGGCCATGGCCCAGTGATGAGCACACCGCCGGCCATGGCCCAGTGATGAGCACACCGCCGGCCATGGCCCAGTGATGAGCACACCCCCAGCCATGGCCCAGTAATGAGCACACCCCCAGCCATGGCCCAGTGATGAGCACACCCCCAGCCATGGCCCAGTAATGAGCACACTGCTGACCATGGCCCAGTGATGAGCACCATGACCATGGCCCAGTGATGAGCCGCCCCAGCCATGGCCCAGTAATGAGCACACGCTGACCGCGCTGATGATGAGCACACCCCAGCCATGGCCAGTATTAAACAAACACACACGTGACCATAGCCCAGTGATGGAGCACACCCCAGCCATGGCCCAGTAATGGAGCACACACGCTGACCATGTTGATAATGGGCACACCGCCGACCATGGTGATGGTAGACACACCCCAATATGGCCCGGTAATGAGCACACGTAACCATATTTGATGATGAGGTTTTGCTTGACCATGGCCCAGTGATGAGCACACCTTAGCCATGGCGGTAATGAACACACCGCTGCCCATGACAGTGATGAGCACACCCCAGCCATGGCCCAGTGATGAGCACACCGCCAGCCATGGCCCAGTGATGGGCACACAGCCATGGCCCAGTAATGAGCACACCATGACCATGGCCCAGTGATGGGCACACCCCGAAGCCATATGGCCCGGTAATGAGCACACCATGACCATGGCCCCGGTGATGAGCACACCGCCAGCCGCTGGCCCGGTGATGAGCACACCGCCGGCCATGGCCAGTGATGAGCACCCCCAACCATGGCCCAGTGAAACACACCCCAATACGCTGATGATGAGCACACTAATATGGCCCAGTAATAGACACCGCTGACCATGGCCCAGTGATGGTACCGCCGGCCATGGCCCAGTGATCGAACAGACCACCGACCGTGGCTCGGTAATGAGCACACCGACCGCTGGCTGATGATGGGCACCCCCAGCCATGGCGTGGTGGGCACCCCCAGCCGCGCTGGCCCCAGTAATATCAAACACACCACCGACCATGGCCCAGTGGTGAGCACACCGCCAGCCATGGCCCAGTAATGAGTACACCACCGACCGCCCAGCAGTAATGGGCACACCACCGACCAAGGCTCAGTAATAGGCACACCCCCAGCCATGGCCCGGTGATGAGCACACCCCCAGCCATGGCCAGTGATGACACACCGCTGACCATGACGGTGATGAGCACACCCCAGCCATGGCCCAGTAATGAGCACACCATGACCATGGCGGTGGTAAGAGCACACCCCAGCCGCAGCGGTAATGAAACGCCCGCACCGCTGACCATGGCGGTGACCCCACACCCCAGCCATGGCCCGGTAATGAGCACACCGCTGACCATGGCCCAGTAATGAGCACACCGCCGACCATGGCCGGTGAACACCCCAGCCGCCAGCCCCAGTGTGGGCACCGCCAACCATGGCCCCGGTGATAGGCACACCGCCGGCCATGGCCCGTGATGAGCACACCCCAGCCGCGGCCAGTAATGGGCACACCATGACCATGGCAGTGGTAGGCATACCCAGCCATGGCCCAGTATTAAGGCACACCGCCCCGAGCCATGGCCCAGTGATGAACACACCCCAGCCATGGCCCGTGATGAGCACACCGCCAACCATGGCCAGTGATGAAGCACACCTGACCATGGCCAGTAATGAGCACACATGACCATGGCCCAGTGGTAAAGCCACACCCCAGCCGCAGCGGTAATGAAACACACCGCTGACCATGGCCCAGTGGTGACACCGCCGGCCGCCAGCGGTAGTGAGCACACCACCATCGCCAGCGGTGATGAGCACACCCCAGCCGCTGGCCCCGGTGAGCACACCACCGACCATGGCCCCAGTGGTAGGCTACACCGCCGTGGCGGCGGTGACTGGCTTTGGCAGCAGTAATGAGCACACCATGACCATGGCCAGTGATGAACACCGCCGGCCATGGCCCAGTGATGAGCACACCCCCAGCCATGGCCCAATGTGAGCACACGCCGGCCAGCGGCGGTAGCCTTACACCATGACCATGGCGGTGATGGGCACACCCCCCGGCCATGGCCCAGTATTAAGCACACCGTTGACCGCTGGCCCAGTGATGGGCAAACCGCCAGCCATGGCCCGGTGAGCACACCGCCGACCATGGCCCGGTAATGGGCACACCATGACCATGGCCCAGTGATGAGCACTGCGACCATGGCCCCAGTGATGAGCACACCCCAGCCATGGCCCGGTAATGAAGCACACCGCGACCATGGCAGTGATGAGCACACCGCCGGCCGCGGCCCCAGTGATGAGCTCACTGCCAGCCATGGCCCGGTGAGCACACAACTGACCATGGCCCCAGTGATAGACACACCGCCGGCCGCTGGCCCAGTGATGAGCACGCCCCAGCCATGACTGATGATGAGCACACAACTGACCATGTTGATGATGAGCACGCAGCCGCCCAGCAGTGATGAAACACACCCCAGCCATGGCCCAGTGATATTTTAGCCATGGCCCAGTGATGAGCTTACACAATGACCATGGCCCGTGGTGAGCTGCCAGCGCGAAGCATTGATGAGCACACCGCCAGCCATGGCCAGTGATGAGCACACCTGACCATAGCCCAGTGATGGGCACACCACCAGCCGCTGGCCCAGTAGTGACACACCACCAGCCGCTGGCCCCGGTGATGCCAGGCACACCGCTGGCCATGGCATTGTTGAGCACACCAGCCATGGCTGATGATGAGCACACCACCAGCCATAGCCCCAGTGATGAGCACACCACCAGCCATGGCCCCAGTGGTGAAACACACCACCAGCCATGGCCCAGTGATGAGCACACCGCCAGCCGCGGCCCAGTGAGTAAACACCGCCAGCCATGGCCAGTGATGAGCACACCGCAGGCATGGCCAGTGATGAGCATACCATAGCCATGGCCAGTGATGAAACACACCCCAGCCATGGCTGATGATGAGCACACCGCCAGCCATGGCCCAGTGATGAAACACACCAGCCATGGCAGTGATGAGCACCGCCAGCCATGGCCCAGTGATGAAACACACCGCCAGCCATGGCAATGGTGGTACACCACCATGTGGCCCAGTGATGAGCACCGCCAGCCATGGCTGATGATGAGCACACTGCCAGCCATGGCAGTGATGAGCACACTGCCAGCCATAGCCCCAGTGATGAGCACACTATTACTGGCCCCGGTGATGAGCACTGCCAGCCATGACCCATTTGATGATGGTACACTGCCAGCCACTGGCCCAGTGATGAGCACACCGCCAGCCTTGGCCCCGATGATGTGAGCACACTGCCAGCCATGGCCAGTGATGGTACACCACCAGCCATGGCTGATGATGAAACACACCACCAGCCATGGCCCAGTGATAGGCACACTGCCAGCCATGGCCCAGTGATGAGCACACCGCCAGCCATGGCCCAGTGATGAGCACACCACGCCAGCCGCGGCCCAGTGATACCAGAGCACACCGCCAGCCATGGCCCAGTGATGAGCACACCGCCAGCCATGGCCCGGTGAAACACACCAGCCATGGCCAGTGATGAGCACACCGCAGCCACAGCGGCCCATTGTTGAGCACACCGCCAGCCGCTGACGGTAAACACACCACCAGCCATGGCTGATGATGAGCACACTGCCAGCCATGGCCAGTAATCGACACCGTCGTACTGGCCAGTGGTGAGCACACCGCAGCCATGGCCCAGTGATCAAACACACCTGCAATAACGGCCAGTGATGAGCACACACCGCCAGCCATGGCCCAGTGATGAGCACACCGCCAGCCATGGCCCAGTGATCGAGCACACCGCCAGCCATGGCCCAGTGATGAGCACACCACCAGCCATGGCCAGTGATGAGCACACCGCCAGCCATGGCCCAGTGATGAAGCACACTGCCAGCCATGGCCCAGTGATGAAGCACACCACCAGCCATGGCCCAGTGATGAGCACTGCCAGCCATGGCGTGATGAGCACACCGTCAGCCATGGCTGATGATAGACACACTGCCGGCAGCGGCCCCGGTGATGAAACACACCACCAGCGCAGCCGATGAGCACTGCCAGCCATGGCCCAGTGATGAGCACACAGCGACGCGGCAGTGGTAGACACACTGCCAGCCAGTGATGAGCACACCGCCAGCCGCTGGCCCAGTGAT